GCGACCATTGTCCCATAGCACTGCTGCTGGCTGTGTGAACACAGCGTCGTGATTTATAACAACCGGTCAATTGTCTGTCGCGATTCATGCCGACCGGCCAATCGTGTGTCTCGATTGAAGCCACGGAAGTAGAATGTAGAATTCTTCTGCTCAGGGTGTAATCTTGTGATCATGTCTGTGTGTGAGTGTGGGGGCATGGAGGTAGTCAGTTGCCCCATACATCAACGAATATCTATATTGCCATTAGTTGTTAGATGGTCGGTTTGTATCCAAAAATTCAAAATCTCAATAAAAAAACTTGTGTATTATATATGTACGTTTTCCTTTACATGTATCATTATTTATTAGTAAGGTGTATGTTTGTGGTTTCAACAGCCTATGTAAGTCAATAAATCTAAGAGTCGATCTAAATAAATGTAAAACTGGAGCGCCGGTATCGATTTTATAGAATAGGGATTGAGGGCCCCTATCGGTCTGTGATCACTCCAACTTCGATCTACCTCGCTTTTTACCTTCACTCTCAGCAACCCAGAGTCAGCTAGTACTGTAAACGTGATGTTTAAAATACGCACAGTGAAACGAAAACGTTCAGCGCGGATCCCGATTTTAGTACAGTATAGCAGTGTAGCGCATGCAGACACCGCCACTAGTCACAGGCACTTGGACCGTTTCAATAATAAAATGATGGTTAATAAATACAACTTGATATAGTTTTCAGAGTACACAGTGATATAGAGTGATATATAGTGATATACAGTGATATAGAGTGCATAGACAATGACACAGTGATATAGAGTGATACTCTATATCACTGTGTAATTGTGCATGCACAATGGCGTGCGCGCTATGTGTTGCAGCGGTGTATTGGACGGTGTTGAAGTGAAGTTATTAGGTCAAATCAAACATTATTACTGGTACTGGTAGGTCTAGTACTGACAAGTTGTATTTATTAACCATTATTTTATTATTGAAACGGTCCAAGTGCCTGCCTGTGTCACTAGTCCTTATTTGCGTAGTTCGCAACCCGGTTTGTTTACGTTATTTCAATCGATAGTAAGTAGACGGTACATGGAAATTATGTGGTATATTCAATGAGCAAACATTATTTAATGTTCATGTGTTCAAAATCGTTAAATTTGTAACGTTTCCTGCCAGAAAAACAGGATAAATTGCCGAGGAAATGCGCTAGCGAAAATTCACACGCGAATTGGCGAATTATGCCTGTTTTCATACCATCATATCTTTATTTTGGGGAGAGTTTTTCATATTATTTAAACGTGGAAGGAGAGATAAGATACTTTAAAGGTAGATTCCTGGGGTTAGTTTGCTTTACGGTAATACAAATGAGGTAAAACAATAAGTGACTGAGCGGGAAAAACGCGAACATCTCAGCACAGGGCGCTAGGTGCATGGTTAACCGAGGCAGCGTTCAACGTGTTCTCCCGTAATATGACATTGCAGCGCCATCTCTCGGCAGAAATAATTCACGAGCGCGCAAATATAAATTAACTGCTTTAGTGCAACCTAACTCGCCCCCTAGTTGCGGTGCATATGATTAATATGCTATTGAATATATATATTATGATGTTTATATATATATATANGGAGGAGAGGTAGGGGGAGGAGGAGGAGGAGAAAGAAAAGCTGGAGACAGTTTTTGCGTAATTTACCAGCCGGTGGCATTAATAGCGAAAAGCCCGTCAGCGGTTGTTTGAATACTCGCAAAGAAAATATTTGTGGATGAGTCCATTTAAGATGACAAGCGGACCACTTGCATGTAGAATGGGAGCAGAGACGGAGTTTCACATAAACCAATATTATATATAAAATATATTATATATATATTATATATATGCATATATTAATATGCACTATATATATATATATATATATAT